GTTTCATGCCAAAATATGAGTTGACAGGTCAAAAACTTCAGGCAAACTTTGTCATTGAATCTCATATCTGAACTGTAATTATTTATTTAAAGAGTTACTAGGGAGAAGATCACTTGGGTAAATTTTTAAGTTTGGGGGATAGCATCTATTCTCATAGTTTGTCCATTTTGATCTGTGGTGATAAAGGCACTATAGTCAACTTCCAAAACTAAGTTATCTCTGAGGAATAGGAAAAGGCAGTTGATTAGTTGCTAGAGTAACATGAAGGTTTTATTTACCAATTTAGTTTTGGGCTAGTTTTAATTTCTGTTTAGCAGGAATTCTGAGAAGTGATTATGAACTGAACTTGTATGCTAACATCAAGTTCACACAGCATTGTACCAATGTGTGACAAACTGAATTTTAATTTTTACTAAACTTTCATCTGGCTAGTGATTACCATAGTAGATAGTGCAGATTTAGATTGATTCTGATGCAGGCGGTTCCTGGTGCACACATGGAAAAAAACAGTTCATTAATCACATTCTTCTCTAATAGAGGGAAATCCTTCCAAACATGGTACAAAATCTAGAAACTACAAAGGAAAAGTTAATACATGACAAAAAATACATGGGTAAAAAGATAGCATTAGATTAAAAGATAAGTGACATACTAGAAGAAAATATTTAAAAGCATTTGAAGAGCACTTAATCACTAACAAGCCAATAGGGGGAAAATAGCAAAAGGTAGGGACAGGAATTCACAAGAAATATAAATGACCAATAAAGTATTGTGTCTTAGAAATTAAGGAAATGCAAATTGAATCAGTGAAGTAATTTCATTTAATTTTACCCACATACTAAAAAGTTTTGGCAAGGATTCTGGAGACCTGGTAAATTAACATGGTTTTAGAAGGCCATTTGGCATAATCTCATTTAAATGAACATGATTTTAAGTGAACGTTTTATTTCAGGAATTTATTTAAAAGAAGTGCTAGATGGTGTATACAGTGGTGGTGTGTACAAAATCTTTTCGTTCAATATTGTGTGTAATAGCCATTTGACAAAATCCAAATGACCATTAATGGAGTAAAGTAAGTTATTGCACATTCTCATGGCATAATGTGTGTTCTTGATCAATAAAATAAATTGCTGACACAGAAAGTTCTCCAAAAGTCAGAGGACACTTATTTTCTATAGTGTACTTCCACTGAGATTTTTTTGAAAATAGGAACGTATATGTGTGTATGGAATGGATAGAAAGTGGGGTATATGAGAAACTTTTTTAATGGTTACTTCCAGGAAGAGTAAGATTTATGGGATAGTGGTGAAGGGACTTACTCTAATCCTTTATACCTAGAATATATTTATTATGTAAAAATTGTGGTCTGATGAGAATATTAGATTTCTGAGGTAGAACTCAGGGTGATAATAGTTGGGAATGACTGGAGACTAGGATACATAAGTAAAATGTGAATGTGAAACTGGAATAGAAGGAATTATCTGAAGCTAGAATATTGAATGGATTGCCATGAAATTTTAAATCACCTAAAATGGTTGTCAAATATGATAGAGACAGAAACATTCTGCCAGTTAACAGTACTGGAAGACTGGCACATGACCACTCTCAGCTGGCAGTAATTAAGGACTTGTAGGAAAATGGCATTTTCACCATAAGATTAATACAGTTTTCAGTCAAATTATGGGGTTATTTGGAATTCAAGTAAGAAACCAGATTAGGTCTATGTGGTTCTTGTCCTGGGTATCTGGGAATCAAACAAAGGACCAAAACCTGTCAGAACTCTTGTTGACAATGATGATGTTTGTTCAGAAAGGCTTAGGTCCTATCTCAACCCAAGTTAGCAAAGTTTATACACTTTTAGACAAAGTTAGGTTATCTGAATTCAGAAGAGGAAGACAGGAGATTGCCGAGGGCAAATATGGACAGCAAAAGTTTTTAAAAAGTTCACAAATGAGCATAATGGAGAATAAAAGCTCTATACATCCACCTCATTAATATTGAAAGCATTTAGCTTTGTAATGTGCTAAACATCCAAGAAAAATAATGTGATAATCTAAGAATAAAAAACGTGATACATTTCAAAAAGTGATGAGCTTAAGTTATCTGGAAATTTATGTGAAAATCTACTTTGACACCTGGATTGAGTGAAGTGTCAGTTTAAATATTTGATGGTTGATAAATTTTTGGCTAAGATCAAAATTGGTGATACAAAACCGATTAGGAGCTTACCATTAAGTCAATAATGAAAAAACTAGCTAACAAATACAGTGCAAACTATGTGCCAGGCATTGTTCTAAGTGCTGCTTTTGTATATTAACCTAATTCTCAAAGTAACCCTATAAGATTGTCCCTATTTTACTTTTTGGATGAGGAAAGTGATGTACAGAGATGTGAAATAACCCAATGACATCTAGCAAGTGGCAAAAATAAGATTTTTGGCTCCAGTGACTATTAAGGAGTGTATCAGCCCAGCTACAAAAAATGTCATTTCAAATAGTTGAGGAAAGCAAGTTAAATACACAGGTCCCTATTAACTGGGATGCTGCCCAACATAATTGAAAGAGCACAGATAGCAAATAAATGTATATCTGATGTTAACTAATGCAGCCCATTAAAATTACCTTTGACTTGCTTCACCATGGAATAAATTCCTAGATGCCAAACTCAATTGGTTCTTTTCAGCCTCTTTATGTTTATGTGATTGATACTATTAACCACTTTAACATTCTTTCCTTGATTCTTAACACCAAGTTCTTCGCTTCTCTTTTTGTTCCTCTGCTGCTTCCTTTGCTTGTTCATTTTTCTCTGCTTGCTCCATGTATTTTCTTGGGTTCTTTCCCCTCTTACTAGGCAAGATTACTATAGGCACTTCAAATTTAACATTCTTTTCTCTTCCTGTTTTCTCCTTTAAGTCCTCCCATTGCTCTACCCTCCCAAACAGAAAACTTTTTCACGATCATGCAGAAAAATGAGTACTAAAGACTTAGGGGAGAAAGTGGGGAGGTAGCTCCATGCTGAACTACTAGTTATGTTTATTCTAACAGACTAAGGGTCTTTCCCCCTCCTGCCCACAAATAGCTCTGAATAAAGTCAACACTATAGAAAAATATGCCATTCTGATTTTCCATACTCAAAGAACACTTGGACATGTTTACCTCTGCCCAGCTTCTACTCCCAGCCAAAGCCCTGATACCTGGCTCCTGTGTTTCTATTTTCATCTCCCCCTTTTTCCCTTCCTTGCCTGCATTTCCACAAAGGAACATGCTGTTTCATGCAAATGTGTGCTTAGAATATTCTTCCTGTTTAACCTAGGAATTTCTACTCCCGTTTCACAGGTGTGTCACCTCCTCTAAGGCAATTCTCGTACATCTCTAGGAAATCCAAATTTATCCCTTCTTCGTACACCTACTTTACCCTTTACAAACCAGGACCCATCACGTTTTATTGCATTGTTTGCTCATCTGTTTTTTTTTTTAAATGGGAGGGCCTAAGTCATTTATCTTTGTCTCCTCAATGCCTTGCACACATCTGTTAATGACTGGTTACATTAGTTTCATTGTACAGCTTTAAGTAATATAAATTCGGTCTGGATTCCTGACTTGCTGAGCTGTCTTGTCTGTAAGCTTCCAATATCAGGACTGCAAAAGAAAAACCGTGGTTTGACATTAGAGAAGACTCCGGACTTCGCCAAGGTCATCTTAAGTGGTGCTTCATGACGCTACCACTTCCCTTACTCCCGTCCACTTAGGCTGTCACTCAGCTCAAGGTCTTGAGGAGAAAGAGCCCAAGGCGAGCCACAGCCCACGTGCTTCCTAACAGGAACTCGGCCCCTTTTCCTAAACGTAGTTCCGCCAAGTACTATCTTCAACTGACATCTCTGTTGTCCAATTACGGTTAGAGACTATGAGGGTCGTACCTAGTCTGCCAATGTCCAATAAAAAAGTGAATTCAGATTAGCACAAATTTTCGCCAATGGTTGAGAAGATGAGAGATTTTTAACCTATAGAAGCAGTGCTGAAAATGATGAGCAGCAAGCTCATCCAATGGACATGCCTACTGCCCAATAGGCCTCGCCCCAACCGCCGGGGAGTTGGCGGCCTCTAGTGCTGCTGCGTTTAGTCTCCACACGGACTCCGCCATGTTGGGTCTTGTGGGCCGTGTCGCTGCAGCCTCGGCCTCCGGGGCTTTGCGGGGATTCAACCCTTCAGCACCGCTACCCCAAGTTCAGCTCTTACTGCGGGCCGCCCCGACAGCGCTTCAGTCTGGTAAGTGCCTTTTTCTAGGAGCTGGGTTGGTTTCTGCCGCCCCATGACCTTGAGCCGGGGGCCGATTGTCGCTCGGGCCTGAGGTATCTGTGGTGCTAGAAAGACGCCAAGGCCAGCGCCCTTCCTTCTAACGGCTGAAGAACAGGAACGGTTCATCTGTCGGTGCTTTCTTCGATCTCATTCCGTCTTATTTTGGAAAATGAGGGTGCATTGTGACGGGAAAGTGTGGTAGGTGCAATGACCTTCTTGTGGAAGCGGGACACCGAGCTCTCGAATAATGGGGTTTCGTGCCTGAGGATGGGAGAATTGTACAGGCGCTTCCTCGGTTTCTGCACGGCCCTCCCTCTGGACACTCCTTCTCTGCAAGCGGAAGGAGGCTGGGCCTCGGCTGAATTCACCAGTCCTTGTGGGTTGAATCGGGGCTTCTGATGACCTTTAACTGCCCTGATCCCAGCTCCTTTCAATATCGTTTGTGTCTGTTAGCCAGAGACTATGCAGCCCAAACATCTCCTTCGCCAAAGGCAGGCGCCGCCACCGGACGCATCGTGGCAGTCATCGGTGCAGTGGTGGACGTCCAATTTGATGAGGGGCTACCACCCATCCTAAATGCCCTAGAAGTGCAAGGCAGGGATACCAGGCTGGTTTTGGAGGTGGCCCAGCATTTGGGTAAGTAGAATTTGTTAGGAATAGTAAAGAATTTGTTGAGCTCAAATATTCCAAAATCCAGGCTGTCTTCCTTCTATGATGACTTTATCAAATGACTTTCGTTCTTCTGAGTTTGCTGAAGCCATGTTTAGGTACTGAGAAGGAGCCTTGGTTGATTGAGGTCTTTCATGCCACTTTACACTTTGTTTAAGGATCATGAAGCCAACTTGTCTTTGTATCATCCTGCAATACCCTTATCTGACAGGTGAGAGCACAGTAAGGACCATTGCCATGGATGGTACAGAAGGCTTGGTTAGAGGCCAGAAAGTCCTGGATTCTGGTGCACCAATCAAAATTCCTGTTGGTCCTGAGACCTTGGGCAGAATTATGAATGTCATTGGAGAACCTATTGATGAGAGAGGCCCCATCAAAACCAAACAGTAAGTGTCACTCTTGCTGCATCTAGACACAGATATCCCCAAAACACTGCCTTTTCTTGCAGTGTTACATATTAAGGTGATAACTTTTAGTATAGCAGAATTTTCCTGCAGAGAATACTTAAAACGTCGATATATTCAATTATTAAAACCACACAGTGCAGTTTCTTCTGCAGAAAATTAAGGATGCAGAATTTCTGATTATAAAATGCCTGCTACTTAGGACCGAAGTTGATTATTTGAGTTTTAATACCAATGGCTTATGTTGTGGGATTTCCAGAACTTGCAAGTCTTGTGTTCCCTGTTGGTATGTGAAGAAATGCTATTAGGTTAGGACTCAGTAAAAGTAAAATCTTTGTGACATAGTTGTCAAGAGAATGGAATTATTGCTTCCTGAGATAATGAAATCCCCTTTGTTGCAGAATGTTGGGCTAGATGCCGAATGACTTTTCTAGAATGTTATATAAGAAGAGATGAGACTGAGTAAAGTGTTAGACTTGAGAATTGAGGGGAACCTTTCAACAAGATGAGTAGATATTAATCTCTTATGCCTTTGCAGATTTGCTCCTATTCATGCTGAGGCTCCTGAGTTCATGGAGATGAGTGTTGAGCAGGAAATTCTGGTTACTGGTATCAAGGTTGTGGATCTGCTGGCTCCCTATGCCAAAGGTGGCAAAATTGGTATGTTAGTGGTGGGCACATAGTAATTTCCAAACCTAATGCTGGAAGAAAAAAATCCTACCATGTTATGAGTGGGGTACTGAGATCTATCCCTCACTGATGAGTAGCTCTGACTTTCGTTCTTCTGAGTTTGCTGAAGCCAGATGCCATTCCTGAGAAGGAAAAAGATGGAAAGAAGCTTTTTTTTTTTTAAGTTTGCTTATTTGGGAACAAATAACTATTCTTAACTATTCTTTCTTCTCAACCTCTCCCAGGGCTTTTTGGTGGTGCTGGAGTTGGCAAGACTGTACTGATCATGGAGTTAATCAACAACGTTGCCAAAGCCCATGGTGGTTATTCTGTGTTTGCTGGTGTTGGTGAGAGAACCCGTGAGGGCAATGACTTATACCATGAAATGATTGAGTCTGGTGTTATCAACTTAAAAGATGCTACCTCAAAGGTAAGTACTGAACTGATTGATGTTCACATGGTAGGTATGCTAGGAAATTGTTTTAGTTGACTGCATTGTTTAGCTGAAGCCATGGTTTTAGTGTTCCAGGAGCTACAAAGGAAATTCCTGTCATTCTCCCCGCCCCCCCACACACACTTTGAATAACACTAATGCACATTTCTTTTCTCTTTCACATTAAATTACGTATCCAGACTGTTTTTGGTAGATAGTACCATCATTTGAAAGCTAATTTGGAGGAGAGTTGGAGGTGATTAATATGTTTAGATGACCCTATTTTGTGCTTTTTACTTAGTGTATTTCCTTCTTACTACTTTAGTAATTTATAGAATTTTACCTCAGTAATATAAGAAGTTATCGTTTGTGTTGTTTTGAACTGCATCTCTAAAAGGGAAATGAAATTTGCAAACAAAAACATTAACACCTTCTGATAAGGAGTGTTTTTTTGTAGTTTCACTGATTTGGGATCATTGGGTATATGGCTTCTATACTCCTCTGCCAGGTTCTCTGATTGTGTGTGATTACTGCAGGTAGCACTGGTGTATGGTCAGATGAATGAACCACCTGGTGCTCGTGCCCGGGTGGCCCTAACTGGACTGACTGTGGCTGAATACTTCAGAGACCAAGAAGGTCAGGATGTACTGCTATTTATTGATAACATCTTTCGCTTCACCCAGGCTGGCTCAGAGGTAAGAAAACTTGAGAGGATCTGATTCATTTGACCTTTCTATGGAATGACGGAAATGAGGTTGAACATGTAGACAACTGAAATCTTTTGTTCTTATTCTTTTTCTTTTTAAGGTGTCTGCTTTATTGGGCAGAATCCCTTCTGCTGTGGGCTATCAGCCTACCCTGGCCACTGACATGGGTACCATGCAGGAAAGAATCACCACCACCAAGAAGGGATCTATCACCTCTGTACAAGTAAGAACAATTGAATGGAAGAAGGTCTAATTTGTATAAAGGCGTGTATAGAGAAGTATAAAACCTTGTTAACTTATTTCAAAAGGCTTATAACTGGGTTTATGAACTCCCTAAAATAATGGGTAAATTTTTGTGTATGCGTGTTAAAGACCCTAAAAGGTTAAACATTCGTCTAAAGTAATTGAAGGTATACATGTTAATGTAGATTACAAACTAGTAGTTTTCACCCTAAGGGGGAGCCTGGATCTACATGGATAGTAAAATTATCTAAAAGTATGTCTAAATTATGTAGCGACTTTCACAATTCATTTTCCTAGTAAACTGTTGTAGTGGTATAAGGTGGGTTTTGGTTTTGGTTTTTGTTTAGTTTTTAGCTCTAAAAGTGGGTATCAGTACAGTAGAGTTAAAATGTCGATGAAAGACAAAAGGAATGACCGTGAAAATTCTTTCACAGCTTGGAGGAACTAGATAATCTATAAACTCAGCAGCTATTAGGGCTGGTAAGAAGGCTCTTTTGAGTTGGACTCTTAAATGCTAAGAAGATATGGAGTAAGATAATGAGAGGTCAGAAAAGGGGGTGGCATAAGTAGAATTATTTAGCTTGCTGCTTCTCATGGCTTCTTGACTCATTTTAGGCTATTTACGTGCCTGCTGATGACTTGACTGACCCTGCCCCTGCCACTACCTTTGCCCATTTGGATGCTACCACTGTGTTGTCCCGTGCTATTGCTGAGCTGGGCATCTATCCAGCAGTGGATCCTCTGGACTCCACTTCTCGCATTATGGATCCCAACATTGTTGGCAGTGAGCATTATGATGTTGCCCGTGGGGTGCAAAAGATCCTACAGGTGAGTATTATTGTAGGTGTGAGATTAGTGTCCATAAAATCATACAGATGGAATTTGGGGACTAAATTAGGACCGGATCTTTCCTGATGACTTCCGTAGTTTGCTTTGGAGCAAGGAAAGATGAGACCACCAGTTTCTAGTGTGTGTTAATGAGGTCTTTTAGGTTTACAGGTACTTGGTCTTTGGATTCCAATTTTATTTATCAGCACCAGACTAGGAGTAGAGAGAACAAGACACTGATCTTAGCTGAGGGCCTTCATGACCATCCCAAATATGTAACTCTCCTATCTTGTTTCACTTATAAAGTAAGGTGCTAAAATGCTTTGTACAAAGCTCAGTGTGAATGTAAGGTGATATTAACTCTTAGATTTTTGTCCAAATTAAAGGAATGTATTTACTTGGAGCTCTCTTGTTTTTTCATAGGACTATAAATCCCTCCAGGATATCATTGCCATCCTAGGTATGGATGAACTTTCTGAGGAGGACAAGTTGACTGTGTCTCGTGCACGGAAAATACAGCGATTCTTGTCTCAGCCATTCCAGGTTGCTGAGGTCTTCACAGGTCATATGGGGAAGCTGGTACCTCTAAAGGAGACCATCAAAGGATTCCAACAGATTTTGGCAGGTGAGATTTCAAGTATAAAGCAGAACATAAAATGGCAGAGAAGCGTAAATCTCTTGAATGCTTGCTGTGTTACATTTCCATTCCAGCAGCCATCAAGCAATATACAATTCATTGTGCCTAATTACATAACTTTTTAAGTTAAAAATAAGCTATTTCTCACCAGTTTTCTTTGGAAAAGAAAATATACTTTTCTGAGAATATATTACTTATTTTCATCTCAGCCAATACCAAGTGAGGGCTTTCAGTGTTAGTTACCCTTGTAAGTGATTTACAAGATCTTTATAAGGCAGGCATTATCCTGTTTTACAAATTAGAAGACTTGACATACAGAAAAGTTTAAAATAACCATTCTTGATATCACACAGCCAAAAATAGAGAGCAGTAATTGGAATCCAGGTTATGTGGCTCCAGACCATTTGTTTTTAATCCATACTGTATTGTGTCTTATAAATTAGATTTGTGAGGGAAGTTAGTTTAAAGATTTCTCAGGTGACATAAATTCATCAATTCCGACTCGTAGCTTCAAGTGGGAAAGTAGGTACACACTTCAGAAAGTTGATATCCCTCCACTTATCAGTTGGATTTTTTTTTTCTGTATAGGTGAATATGATCATCTCCCAGAACAGGCCTTCTATATGGTGGGACCCATTGAAGAAGCTGTGGCAAAAGCTGATAAGCTGGCTGAAGAGCATTCGTAAGGGGATCCCAGCACTCACCCTTCAAACTGTCCCTCTCCTTGTCCCTAATCCAAAAATCGCATTTTTCTCTGTAGGCCACATGAGAGCCTTGATTGAAGAAGATATTCTGTTCTGTCTGAGACTATTTAAGGTTTCCAATAAAAGTATGCCCCTCAGAATCGGTCTGTTTTTCTTGATCCTAACAACACAGCCAGTACTAAAATTTTTAGCAGTAATTATAGAATGGCTACAAGAAACAGCACAAAGTAGGCCATATGTTTGAAATGGGTCATCAAAAAAGAAAAGCCATCATTTTGGATTGAGGACTAAATGTGAGTTCGTTAGAAGAGCATACTGGGAAAAATGGGTTGGGTTTAGAAATAGACTGAGACAAGGCAGGGGTTAATCAGTGAAGGAAATGAATTTAATTTTTAGGAAATGATGATACATGTTCTGAAGGATTAATATTGATCTGTGCAAAAACCTAGTCAAAGAGCTCCTTCTGTCTTAGCCGTCAAGTTTTT